CTCTTGTTATAGTGAATTGGCCAATCAAATCTCTTAAAATCTTCACTATAGCCTTATAGCGAAGTTGAGGTCTAGGATATAGAGTTCGTTATAACAAGAGTTAACTGTATATAAGCTATTGTATACGCAATATAAATAGTTTGTATAACTGATGATTATTTAAGAAATTCTGTTATGCTGATCGTAATTATTATAATTTATGCATGATTTTGACCAATGATAAATTAGTAAACACATGACTTGGAATTTATTTATGACAAAATTTTATTTTTATTCAACTAATAGAAAAATACAAATAATTTATAAAAATATAAGTTAAAGAATTATTAGTGGAAGGAAAATACTTAGACCTAAAGCTATTTATTAAGTATTACCTATTCTTTGAACACTCTAACAAAAATTCAACTTTCACTATTACTACTGCTATTATTACTATTATCAATAATAATATTATTAATATTTATATCTTCATTATCTTCTTCATAATATTCACTCTTCACCTTTTTCTTCTTTTCTTTGTTGACTCATTCCTGAATTGCTTCTATTGTTTTACTTCTAGGATTGATTTTTTATTGATAGAAGTTTTTTATTGTGAAAGCAGCAAATTCTTTTCTATCTCCTAGTAATTCACGAATTTCAATGACCATTTTACTAAATGAAAAATTTGGATCCAATTCAGTCTTTTTGTTGAATAATTGTTTGAAATCCTTCCATAAATTTTCAATCTCTTGTGAATATTTTCTTTTATCATCAGTAAGTTATTTTATTTTTGAGTTGGCTTTTTCTTGATTCTATTTTATTGATTATTTAGGGCTTTTCATTAGAAACAAACTATACCTTGTGTGTAGGGCCATAAGTGAAAATTTCACAAATTTTTGAGAATTCAAAAATTCGTGGAATTTTCTCTTATGGCCCTACACATCCAAAAAGGAAATTTTAAGTTAATATTTTTTCATATGTAATTTTTTGTGTAGAACATTTTTTGCTTAGAAACAATACCCACTTCACATAATAAAATTTTGAGATATTTAAATAAAACAGTAACGTAATAGAACTAACAAAATATAGAATCTACTAAATGGTAATGATCTGACCTGAAAATTCAAAGAACTGTTCTACCAATTATACCAATTATAAAAAAAATATATATTAATATATATATAAAACTTTTATTAAAATAAATAAGATGATATCTTCAAATATTTTAAACACTATTTTTAACAAAACTTATTCCACTTCACATGATTTACAGGTATCATTTAATAATCTTGAAATGACTTATCAGTCACATTTAAATGCTGACAATGAAGATATTCAATATTTAAAATTTTCTAATAATAAAGAAGAAATAGGAGAATTAGTCTGCGAAGTTGAAATTTTATCTAAAGAACAAATTGATAATTTTAAAAAAAATATGATAAAATTAATATAGATAAAAATGTTAAAGATTTTAAAAAATTTAGTCTTATTAATAAAAAAAATAATATTAATATTAATAATATTTTTATCTGAATTTTTGGTGCAGACTTAGAATTTAGAAATGATTAACATTAAGGAGGTAAAATCTTTTTTTCAATTTTCCTCAAATTTTTCAAAAATCCAAAAATTATGGTTTGTTTCTATTGAAAAGCTCTCATTTGATCAATTTTTTGATTTATAGTATGAAGTTAATTTTGATAGGTTCTATGGTGAATCAAAAAACCAAGGAGTCCAATTAACAATTCACAAAAAAATTCATTATTGAATGTAAGTATTTTTTTAAAATGTTATTATAGATGAAAATTGTGTAAATATTTATTGATTATTTGTTTTTTTTTAAACCAAAAAATATAATTGTTTAATGATGATTATTAGAAGGATTTGTTATTTGAATTTTTTTACCTGAAAATTAAGTAAATTGGTAATGTCTTTATAATATTCTAATATAAGATAGGGTTATTTACCTTGTTTTAATGTTAATGAGAGAAAAACAAAGACTCATAAAATATATCCTTGAATGTAGTAGAATTTTTTGTTCAAAAATTCAAATAACGTTTTTTACTGATAAGCAATGCAATATGATGATCATTAATTATATTTTGTATAAAGGAGAATTTTCTTTGTAATAATAGTCAGTAAAAAAAAACAAATCAATATTGTAATAATAAAATTAATTTCCTTCTAAGGATTTCTGCTTTTTGTTAAATAATAGCACACTTTCATTTTGTTTTCTTTTTCTAACATTTATTATTTTTTTTTTTTCTTGGTAAATTTCATAGGTAATCCTTTCTTTTCTTAGATAAGCTTCTAATATTTGAGTGTCATTTATTTTGAAAACATAAGGAGCAATTTTCTCACCTTGTTCTTTTTTTAAAATACTTCTGATAGTACTATAATTCTTGGGTTTCATAGTAGATCTAATGTAAATTAGCTTCATATTAACTATTTTTATATAGAGGCAATTCTATATATCACTTCAGAAAAAACAAAGATAACAAATGGGATATTATAAAACTGTTAATTATGATTACATTACAAATGACTAAATTTTGATCCCTGAAATTCTTGATAATACCAATGTTTACTTTGTCTGGTTTTGTTACAGTATGCCTTATATAATCTATATATTTTTGCATATTAGATATCTATTTTATGCTCTAAATATCTTTTTAAACCTTTTTTATTATTTGTATTTTTTATCATCATATAATCTACCTATCACCGACCATTTAATCTAATTACCACCATAAAATCTAAATATTACACTTTTTTTTATTCCTGGTTCTTTACATATTAAATTCTATAATGAGGTTATTGATCTTCTATAACTGTTTAGATATCTGATTTATATTGAGGGTATTGACTTCCTTTGTCTGATTAGATATTAGATTCTATATTGAAGTGCTTACTCTTTAAACCTATTTAGTTATCTTTTTAGATATCAAAATGAGGTAAAAAAATATCATATCAGGTGATGTAATAAATTTGTATTTAATTTCAGTTGACACTATGCTATAATTCTAGTTAATCTTTTGAAAATACAATTTGAGAATCCAGCTTGCTAATATGATAGTACTATGATGGTGTCATAGAACTATTATGATACTGTTGAGGAATTGGCATAGAACTAGAGTAGTTTTATTAATTTGCCAGTTTCAGACCACCTTTATGCTAATGTTATTATGTTCAAAGATCTAGCTGAATTTATAGAATAATACTAGCTGAAATTATCATAATTTACTGCATTTACTGCACCAGTTATGTAACTTTTACTGACTTGCAAGTCAGAGAATTTAAAATATAAATGTAAAAATATCACTAATATATAATTAATATATGCTAATTTTGTAATAAATAAATTAAAGACAGGTATATTAGCGATATATTGTAAGTTCTTCTGAGGTCTGATTATGGTTGAAATATTTATTACCATAAAATTTCCTATCACTATGAAAAATTTGTTAGTAACTCTCTTAATGATACTCTTATATATTTTTTTCAAAGTTTGGGAACGTTTGACCATCTTCCTTTATATTTGTCACTATATTACTAAGAGTTATTAAAAAAAAGTAAAGTTCTAGAAAAAAATCAAAATTTTTTTATGTTACTCCTATAGTTTATATGTGATATAGTATAATAAATATATAGCATATGCATGATACATATATGCTAAAAAAATAATAAAGTTAAGAAACTCAGATTTTTTCTTAGTGACTCTTAATGATATAGTAACACTCATTTGAAAATTTTTTGATAGCTCTAAAAATGCGAAATAGCTATAAATTTTATTAACAAAAGTGTTACTAAGAGTATTACCAAGAAATTTTGATAAGATCTATTACCCAAAAAGCCATAAGAATAGTGAGAACTTTTTATTTTAAATCACTTATTTAAGATCTTTTAATTAGCCTAAAACTATTTAAGCAAGATCTCTTTGAGACTGTTGGCCATCTTAGCCTACTTTTTTCAATAGTAATATTCTTTTGATCTATTTTTTTATATGCATATTATAATAGTTATATTTAGATTTTGTTGGCTCATTACATTCTTTGCAAGGAACTTGTTTAGAATTCTAATAGACTTTACATCCCTTTAGATAATAGCATCTTCAATTACATACTTTTTTAGTCTTAAAAATATATGAACAATTATAAAAATGTCAGGGTGTTACCTTTTTTTTGTCTCCTATTTGTATATATCAATTAATAATGTCAGAAAATTAATTTTATTTTAAACTTTTTTTTTGCAAATAATATATTTTGAGTTTTGATATAGTTATTAATTTTTTAAAAAAAAAGATCTAATCTGAGCTTTCAGATTTCTCTAACACCCTTGCCTTTTTTTACTCAGACTATTGTAGGTTTAAAACCTTTGATATAGGTCAATATCTATATAAAATTCATGATAATAGTATTAGACTAAAGCAATTTCTTGGTACAAATAATAAAAATAAAATAGAAGCCATACTCTCAGATCTTGAAGACTATTTCTTATATAAAATTATTAATGATGATGAACTATTTCATTTTTTCATAGATTTTAATTTGTCAAAAAAAAAATATATTAAATGCTATCTCTCCTAAAATTTTGAGTAAAAAAGCCTATATATTTATTCAAGCTGTCTTTAAGATGTTTATTTAAAAATAAATCTGAAGTAGAATAAAAAAAGTATAACTATCGCTAGTAGTAATAATGGAAATAAAATCTCTTCACATCTCTACTACTAATATGAGGCTTAAGAATATTACTTAGGTTGCAGTATTCACTGAAGAAACTTCTGGTAAAATTACAAAAGAAAACTATTATTGATAATATTATAAATAAAAAATCTTTTTCCTTACAGATGTTTAGATCTCCTAAGTTTAATAAAAAAACTGAAGAACATATTCATATAAAAAACCAATTCATCTAAAAGATAGAACTCTCTTTGACTTTATATTTCATCTACTCAATGATGAATCAGAAGTCAAAAAAAATTATCTTTTAAATGTTTCTGAGTCAGAAGTTAAAAGATATCTAGAGAATTACAATAATACAAATAGTGAAATCACTGAAGCTGAATTTGAACTGGTTGAAATACTACTCAAAGAAACTAGTATTAAAGAATATAATCTCTCATATCTATCAGATAAATTTTCTAATAAATTTCTATTATCACATATCTTCCCATCACAATACCTATTATGTAATTGAAAATATACAAGTGATAATGCATATATTATTCAAAATAAAAAATTTTACAGCTTTTTTTGTTACTATGCTAACTAAGATAGGCAACATTAATCAAGAAAATCTTCAAAAAAACTTACTATTAGTGAAACAATCTTAGATTAAGAAAAATGCTTCTGAGTCTAGTGAAATTATAACAGCGTAAAATTTTTAATCTAAATAATTATTTTGTATAATAGGATCTAATTAATATATATATATCTAGACGAAAAGTTTCTCACAATAGAGTTTATAAAGTGATTCAGGTAATAGTCATCTATATTTAAATAACTTCAAGATTATGGGTATTCAAAATAAAGATACAAATAGCAGACTTTATTTTGATATATTATTAAAACTAGATCTAACCAAGTATGAAATCAGCTTAGTTGAGTTAGAAGGTAAAGCAGTAAAGTTGACGACTAATTTAATAGATCAGGCAATTATTAAAGGTCTAATTCTTTATTGCAATATTGATTTTCTTTTGTATTCGTCAAATATACTAGCATTTAATATAAAGTTCTTTAATCTTTTCTAAGATTCAAAGCTCAATTAGCAAATATAATTAATCCTGATATTATGAATCCTATCTTTAGTATGTAAAGAATGTAATCTCTAATAAAGATAAAGGGCTTAATAAATATTTCTGGAATTGTTAGATATATTTAGCTCAATATCCTTTGAAAAAGCCTGATACAATTCAGATATTATGTTTTCTTCTAGGATTCAGAAAAATATTTTAATAAATTTTATAAGTAAAAAGATTTTTAGCTCTGAGTTTTTCTATGCAACTTCTGATCTTAAAAAAATATTAGGACGATTTAATAGTTGCATTTAGGTCTAAAAATTAATAATCATAAATGAAATGAATATATTAAATGAGGATTGGTATAAGTATAATGATCATCTTAATTATTTATTATAGAAGATTACTTAACAATTAAGCACAAAGGTCTAGAACTCAAAGTAATAAAAGATTATGCAGATTTATAATTCTAAGTAATTATAATATCTCACTTCAAATAGAAATAGAAGATTATCATATTGTGTGCTTTGATGTATCTTCAATGTAAAAATAATATTACATATTTCAAGTAATTAGCTCAAATACTAAAATATCCTGATATGCCAAGTATAATTATAACTTATTTACATAATCTTGATCTTTTAGATTAAAGTTTACAAAAGATCTTAACTATTAAAATAAAAGTAGATATAATACGCGAACAATTTTCTAATTCTATT